TTACTCAATTTTTGGTAAGTTAACTTAAACTTACGTCCATAAATATTTACAATCTAATGTATTACTTAACCACTTAACTGTCACCGTCCCACAGGTGGGACGTTTGCCACTATATTTTTAAAACAATAATATCTTAGTAAATACCTTAAATAATATTGACAAACTATATATCATTTGAAAGCTTACAATCTCTAGTTTCCATATTTGGTGACTGATTTTCAAAATATATTACAGAGGAGCCATAATTTATCAATATAAAACAAGAATATTTTCATACTCATAAGGCGTGTTCAGACCTTTATTTAAAATAGCAGTAAACATGAAAAATCATGAAAAGATGGTAGATATCCTCAGTTTGTTTTCATGCAAAAGTTCAAAAGATAGAATCCATTCAATTATTTTAGAAAAAAAAAGGTCTGAAAAGTTTGAAATATCAAGAAAAAAAATAATAAATTCACCATTTGTGACGTGGCAGCTAGCTATGACTTACATGCGTGTTCTTTGTATGTGTTTCTTAGAGGTTCAATTCATTTCAAAATCTGCCAAACTTCCCATGCTACTTCTGAATAGGATCTCTACTTCAGAAATTGTATGAAAATTGTGAAAAATAATGGTTCATATCACTCAAAACACGAATGGAAATGCAGGCGCCCTTATATGGGCAGTAATGGAGTCTGATTGTGCCCTAGTGAAAAAGTTGGGTACTGCGCTCAAACAAAATCTTACTGAAAGCTCATTTTTTGAGATATCAACCTAAAATTTGAAAACACAACTTGTTCAGATTTTTGGCTTGATCTTTCTGTCATTTTAGAGTAGCCAGGTTTTGAAAATATATATTTTATGTAAAATATGAATAATTAATATTTTTACATTGTACATTTCCATAAACTCAAACTTCTATAACTTTTTTTCTGTTTCACTTTCTTATATTTATTTCACTTCTACAAAAATCTGCCAAATGTCTTCTTTAAAACAAGACCAATCATATGTCTATATTCCAAAGCATTCTTGAATTACAACCATTTAGTTCGAAATGTGCATTTTTCATGTCTATTCAAAAAAGGGGGGGGTGACAGTTACAGGTTAATGACGATTCATATTTTGAACAGAATTCATATCATCGGCATGTCATTATATCATGCGATCGACTTGTTTAAAACTGCGTGTTATCAGGACATTTAGTGTGATGTAAAAGTGTTTGATTCCTATATTTTCCATCGAAACGTTACGTTTATTTTAGTAAAGCAAGTGTTGCTTTAATTTTAAATTTCTTGTTCAGGCGAGGCAATCGCGACGGCGCGCGCTCAGTGGTGAGGCGATCTGAACTTACAAGCACAAGGTAAAACTATCTTAAATGTTATGGACGAATGCTGCCGTTTGTTACAGTTTTATTTGAATTTGCTCTCAAGAGAGTATTTTAGAGCATTGCAGTTTGCAAGACGACAGATCGGATCCACTTAAGTCTTGGTGAGAGTTAGCTTTCTTGACGAAAACATTGGAATAGGCTATTAACATCGTTGGATGCTGCTATTTTCTCATTTATTTTACCAGTTTTGATTTCGTTTGATTTCGATTTTCGTATGAGAGCATGTAAAACCAGTGTTTAATAAAGGCCTGCATCATAACTATTTAACGCAAATCAATTTGCAGCGCTCAATGATAGTAACAGGCCTATGCATGTTCGTCATGCTCTCCAGAGAGTATTTTTTCGAGCATTTGCAGTTTGGAAAACAAGGCATACAGAAGTGCTGTTGAGACAGAACGTAAATACGCACGTGCAGTTAGCTTTGCTGATGAAAAACATTAGAATATGATTTTAACATCGTTGCATGATGCTGCTATTTTATCATTTATTTCACTAGTTTGGATTTATTATTGAGAGCAAGTAAACCCAGTGTTTAACAAATCCCTGCGTCATAACTAAATTCAAAATGACTGGCAAAAGATTTGAAAGTTAATTTTATTTTCTGTTCAAAGTTCCCATATTTATCGTTTTCTTAATATAACTTGAACCTAAATCTAAATGAGAAATGTATCACTGTAAATTGTCAATATGATAGCAATATCATTGTAGGTCTCATTAATGTTCTAAACTGCTGTTTTACCTGTGGTGTAACGTTACCTGACTTTTCACGTGCATTTAAAAATGTGCAGCTTTTAAGTTTCATTTATAGAGACCATACAGGTTATCAGAAGTCTTGTAAAGGTGCTAGATTTGACCAGACACAACACTGATTTGCAAGATTGGATACCGTCATTTCACATGCATGTACAACTCTGAATTACTTAATTAGGCATTTTAAAATGCCGTATTGATGAGGGCTGGGAAATCTGTCTGTACTGCATTTACTGCATATACTGCACTTAATTACATTACATTTTTTTTCCTTTTATTATTTTTTTTATTGTAGATGTCAGCAACAGCAGCTGAAGTGGAAAAAAGTTCTACACTTCCAGACTCTCTGAGACTGATTGTCTTAGGTAATGTACGTTCCAGAATCTTTAAATTACTTAATACATTTTGCCTGTTGTATTTTAGCATACATTTTTATAAACTGTTTTCTTTTTCTCTTCATTTGTTTTATTTTTAGGTGAAATTCTCACTGCAACCCAGTGGATGCTGAGTATTGAGGGTCAAGTGGTTCTGAATCAACACCCCAATTTCATGGCTGAATTTGCTGCTTTGTTTGCAACTTACTACAACTTTAATCTGGTGTACCAGCACGAGGCATCCTGCACACTTGAATTTGTTCAAAGGTAACAGATTACTGAAATATAAATTTGTATATGTTAAAGGATTAGTTCATCTAAAAATTAATGTTAGTTCACCTGTCATTAATTAACTACTGGCCTTCGTTCATTTTCGAAAAACAAATTAAGATATTTTTGATGAAATCTTACAGGGTTTCTGAACCACACATAGGCCACAAAATCATTGCAACTTCCAAGGTCCAGAAAAGCAGTTAAGACGATGTTAAAATATACCATGTGACTACACTGGATCAACCTTAATGTTATGAAGCCACAAAATCTCTTCTCTTCTGTGTCAATCTCTGACGCTGTAGTAAACAGTGCATCGCTTCCAGGTTCTACGTTAGAACAAAAAGTATTCTCATCACTTCATAACATTGAGGTTGATCCACTGAAGTTACATGGACTACTTTAATGAGGTTTTCACTACCTTTCTGGGCCCCGGACGTTGTAATGACGTTGTGGTCTATGTGTGGTTCAGATACCTCTCTGATTTCATCAAACACATCTTAATGTGTGTTCCTGAAAATGAATGAAGGTCAGTAGTGACAGATTAACGAGTAATTAATTACAGAAATGTCATTTTGTGGTGAACAAATCCTTTTTAGTAGTGCAAATAATGCTTATTGTAAAGTGGTATATTTTCATAAGTCTGCACATGATCCTAAAGCTTCTGCTTGTATTTTTCTGACTGATTTTTGAGCAGATGTTTACCAAGAACATCAATGAAAGTGGAAAGACCTCAGAGAAGAGGAACAACACAGTCAATCCTCATGTGTCTACTCTTCTCATTAGGCTACCCTGTGGACCTTGAGTGGTTAAACATGTGAGTTGTCAAATGTATATATGAAACAAAAAACTGAGATGTCTATAATTACACAAAATGTAAAAAAGTACTTTGAAACAAAAATAATAGTAATAATAATAGAAAAGCAGAAATTTGAGTTTTAACAAGAGATGCGAGTTAACAATTTTGCCATTCTGTTGTTTGAGCTTAAAGGGATAGTTGAGTTTGAAATTAATTTTTGATATGTTTGATCTTACCTCAAGGGCATCCAAGTTGTAGGTGTCTTTGTTTCCACAGCATTTTCAATTTTGACATTTTTCAGTCAAACCGTTGTTGTCCATCAGTCATACACTGGAGTCTAAGGGGGTCCACCAAAAAGCATGCACAGAGAAGTCAAAATTAAACATGATTTAATGACTCGTAAATGTAAGTAAACATTGATGGCCTAAGACCCGAAATGAGCTGTTTTTGTGAGAAAACGAACAGTATTTATATCGTTTTTACCTCGTGTAGTCACAGTGACGTCCAAGTGACCTGAATCAGTTGTTCAATGTTCAACTGAACCGAACTGAATCAGTTCAATGTTACGCCGGATGTGATCGCTTGCGTGTGACGTCACTCAATATTTACACGGAGATTTCGGAAGTTTTACCTTTTACTAAACATATTTAGATATACCAAAATCATCTTCCATTGCGGTTTCCCGTATATCTAAATATGTTTAGTGAAAGGTAAAACTTCCGAAATCTCTGTATAAACCAAGGGGGTAATCCATCGACCGGAAGTTGAAGCCTCGCGGGAGCTGACATCTTGTAGCAGAACTTCACTTGCGTTAGCATTCCCATTGACTCCCATTCGTGTTGGCGTCACTTTGACAGCGAATAACTTTACATCTGAGGCGTTTGAAGACCCCATTTGTCCTTTATTTATTTCTAAAGAAACACGACAATGTATAAAATGCTCCGTTACCTTGTAGCTTATGTTATGGCCCCGTAGATGCAGTTTTAGTGAAAGTATGCTAACGATTGCGTCATACCCACGCAACTCTCTGTCGCACAGGAAAGAGATTACCGTATTTACAGGAGGAGAAGCTCGCGCGCAATCGGGGAAACGTGGAGGCAAAATGACAAAATAATTAATCAGAATACCTAGCAAAAGTGTCTCCTGCTCCTCGCTCATGGACAGCTCCTATTCATACTCTCCGCCTCTGCATGTATCGGAAGGGAATGATTCAGATTTCACATGCCACTGCACTAGAAGACAGACGGTTTGCTCTCGTCACATCTACGTCGTCAAGCTCTGTTTGAGTCTGCGCGTCAGGGACGGAAGTGCTAACAAATCGCCAAAAACGGGCTTCAATCGTCTCAATGGAGTTCCAATGAGATCGCTCTGTCCATTTCTTTTACTGTCTATGGTATAAACAAAGAGTGACGTAGGCGCGCAAGCGATCACTTCCAGCGCATGCGCAGACCGAAGCACCCGTGCCGGCAGATCATTTTGTCATGGCTATGATTACAAGAGGTAAAAACTATATAAATCCTGTTCGTTTTCTCACACAAACTGCTTGTTTCGTGTCTTAGGCCATCAATGTGTACTTGCATGTACGAGTCATTAAATCATGTTTAATTTGGACTTCTGTGCTGCTCTTTGGTGGACCCCCTTAGCCTCCAGTGTATGACTGATAGACAACAACGGTTTGACCAAAAAATGTCAAAATTGAAAATGCTGTGGAAACAAAGACACCTACATCTTGGATCCCCTTGAGGTAAGATAAAACATATCAAAAATTAATTTCAAAGTGAACTATCACCCAAAAATGGAAAATCATTCACCATTTCCTCACCCCCATGTATGAGTTTCTTTCTTCTGCTGAACTTAGATATTTTGAAGAATGTTGGTAATCAAACAGTTGGTGGTAGCCATTTACTTTCAATTGTCTGGTTACCAAAATTCTTTAAGATATCATCTTTTGTGTTCAACAAAGAAAGAAACTCATACAGATTTGGAACAACTTGAGGGTGAGTAAATGATGACAGAATTTTCATTTTTGGATGAACTATCCCTTTAACTTTTATTGAACCCAGTATCTTGGTGTTAAGCCTTATTTGTAGTTATTTTGTGACTGATTTTGAAAAGATTTTCTGTACTTGAAAAAGTAAAATTGTTGTTACCAGTCTTGTAGTAATTTGCTGATTATTTTAATAAATATTTTTCTACAACAGCTTTGACTTTGTGTTTGTTTTTTTTAAATGTTTATTTTAATGCATCTACATCAATATAATGGTAAATAATAGAGTACAGTTTACTGTTAAAATGATTCTTTTCAGCTTTTTAAATGTTAAACTATTACAGCATCTACTTGAATTTTGGGGGTATTTACAGGATTTTATTGGCAACTTTATTGCCAGGTAAATACTGTACTTTAGTGAAATTACAAAATATTGCTGTAAAATAAAATACAGGTTTAATTCAATGTTACTGTAAAAAACCCTATAAATTACTGTATACCTATAAATTTCATATACAACAATTAACTGTAAATTGCTTTACAGTATTACACTGTAATCAATTTTACAGCAATGTCCAACATTTTTACAGGATTTTATTGGCAACTTTTTTGCCAGTAAATTCCTGTAAATTCTACAGGAAATTTTTTACAGTGTAAGTTACCTTTACTGGCCCTTACAAGGAAACATTCCTCATAGAGAAAGGGAACGAGTCATTCATTGTTCCCACTGAAGCAGGTAGAATGGTCTTTCTTTGCACTACAAAAACAACAAGAGTAGACAGAGAGAGAGAGACTCCTTGTACAAAGGTTGATTCATGGCTGAGATACTATTAGTCAGTAATAGAAGAACAACTTCACCCCGGTGAAAGCTTGAAGGTGGTGGGGGTGGAAGCACTGGGGAAGACGGGACATTCTGCCAGGTAATGCAACAGGATTTCATCTTTATGTTCTTTTTGTAAAGTCTCAAAACTGTATGTAGAAAGCTTGCATGAACAACCTAATAACTTGAAGGCTGAAGAGTTATGTAATATTCCTGTCCTTATAATGAAATAGGGAGCATTTGTAAAAATGACTAAAGCTAGGAAAAGTCGGGAAATGCTCATCCTATAAACTAAAATCTGCACCATTGTTCCTAAAAAAAAAAAAGAAAAACACATTAGACATCGGAGAAACATTATCTTGCTACATTAGATTAAATGATGGGCAGTTTGGGGAACTACAACAAAGAGTTCTTTGTTCTTCTCTTTGTTCTCCTCTTTTTTTCAACCACTCCCTCTAAGGATGCAATTCCCACACATGGACAGCCTAACTGAGACTACAGCCCCGGTCTTTGTGAGACAGGAGGGTCAGAGGTGGTCATGAAGGGGTCCCCAGCTGGAGAACGTAAATCCAGACAGGCTTTAACTGCCAGTCTTCTGGGTTGCTTGGTTAATTAGTTTTTCTCTGTGTTGGTTTACATTTTCTCAATGAAACAACAAAAAATATGCCTTAAATTGCAGGTTATATATAGCGCACATTACATATTTTGACCATATGAAATATTATTTGTGGGTAGTGTCCTCAGTATAGATAGGGAGAGAACTCAGACATGTCTTTGCTTGCTCATAGTGTTTGTGTTCTGAGTCAAACATGCAGTCTGAACAAGCGCTCTGGGTGTTTCTCAATTACAGGGTGTAGCAATAATGAGAGCTTGACTTTCACGAACGCATGTGTGTTGTTTACAATCGACAAACAAACCTGCCTTGCAAACACACCTGCAGTCGGCATTTTATTTATAGCAAAAAACAGTAACTAAGTCCATTATCTGGATTTATGATGTCCGTTATCTTGCCGGTGTGATCTCTGAAAAGATTTGCCATTTTTATCAACTATAACAAGAATGTTTAGATTACAGTTATTTTCAATGTAATTTTAAGTTACTAAAATGAGGTTTGCTAATAAGATATAAAAATGGATATCTCATTGTTACACGAAGAGGGATAGAGCAATTATGGTTTTTGTTTGTAGGGAACATTATATACAAAGGACATTGAGGGTAAAACTGAACAATTAACAGATGGTGTCAAAAACCAAACATTTGGACTGTTGAACATTTGTGTATTGGCTCATTGCTTTAACTAAAACAACATTCGGGTGCAGATGCATGTGTAATGTAAAAAAAAAATATTAAACTTACAGAGATAAAGTTGATGTGTAGCAGCATTTAGTGTGAACGGAGTCACTCTGAGATGCTGGAAGAAACACGTAGCCTGCATGTGAATAATTAAAGCATCGTGCTTCACTCTGAAAATCGCAGCACAAACATTTATTTAATCAAATCAAAGCATATGTGATTTGACATGGCACTAATGCTACAGTATATTATGATTTTCAAATGCATTTAATATGCTGTGCAGCCTTAGAAAATGGTCCAATAATAAGTTCCATGGATTCTCGTCAGTTAATAGACACTGGTAAATTGCAATCAAGCATTTTTTTTTATTGAAATTTAATCGAGGAATAGTGATAGTCCTACAAAAATTCTGCTAAAGTTACATGAAAAATAATTATTTAGACACTCAAATTTTATTTATAATTAGGAGCTCCATCAGCTTTATCAGTACATGTTTTGATGCACTTATCATTTTTTAGGAAAAAAGAAAAAAAAATGGCATTGTAATATTGCACTGCTATTGCTGTCTTTAGAAATATGTCTGTATATTTATTAGAAATTGCAATGTTTTCTTTTGTTAAAAATATGTATTCATTATTAAAAAATATGGCTTTATATTAAAATATGTTGTCAGATTTACATGAACGGTAAGTACAGGGATTTGTAAATCACAAGTTTATGAGAATGTGGTTCATGAAATCATGTTGCAGTAGGAGATCCAACCCATAATCACACAGCCCATTCTTATTCCCAAGGCGTCACCTAACTGACGCCTTGGGAAGCATTTGGACATGCTTCAATATCTGACGCTTTAGGCGCCCTTTAGCGTCAGTTAGATGACGCCCTAGGATCGCGTGTACCCTACCCCCACCCCACACCTAAACCTAACCGCGTCCTCTAACTGACGCTTTCCTTTAGCGTCAGTTAGATGACGCCGTAGGATCGCGTCATGTAAGTGACGCTAAAGGGCGCCTAAAACGTCAAATATTGAAGCATGGTCAAAGGTGACGCCTTGGGGTGAGAATGCGTTGAATCACATCAACCCTGCAACTTCTCTTTTACTGCAAACCGCTCT